ATTTAAACATCGTTTGTGGTCTATTATTTATAATCTCTCTTTTACAATTTTGAGCCATTTCATGTTCAATATCAAAAGCTTGTTGAAAGTATAATAATGCTCTAGGGTGTGGTTGTAAGTGAAAAAGCGACACCAATTCCAGCCTCATCCTTACTCTCGATAATAGTATGAGATAATATGAAATATCTCTACATAATAATATCAGAAATGGTCATAGTCAATATGACCTTAGAAAACAAATGAATATCGTATAGTTAGATGAAAAGAAACGAAAGAATGAATAAATTCCAATCATGAAGAAGAACAAAACACATACACACAATAACAGAAGAGAAAAGAAAATGAACATTAACGCACATATAATTCTAAAGGAATGATAAATCCTTGAAACGTTTAGTCTAGAGATAAAAGAAAAGAAAAGAAATATAAACGAAGTAAGAAAAGTGACCTAACAATTTTACTTTCTTCACTAAAATAAACAACAACCTTTGGAAAACATACATAAACGGTATACAATAACAATCATTTTTACAAGTTCCAAAGTAAGTAAGTATTATTTGAATAATATGTTACAAAAATAAAAACTCTTATCACACATTATTGTGAAGAATATCATGATGATTCTTATTCTGAATAGAATTTTATCATTGCGCGATAGAGAAAAAGAGATTATTAATAAGAAAATATATAGAAAAAGAATTTTTTTTTTTTTTTTTTTTTTTGTTTAAGCGTTGTTTATTTGTGACGCTCTGAAGCGCTTACAAAAAGAGAAAGAATATGTTCGAGTATCTATGGCAATTTGCGTATAAATCATATTATTTCGATTATTTCTTAATTATTTTTCAGAGAACAGGGTCATTTTTTCGTACTTACATGAGTAGATACAAACTCATTTTTACTTTCAATACTTCTTCGCTCAAAATATAAAACTATAGAAGAATTTGCAAATACATTTCTTTTTAGACTATAAGAGTATTTTTTAAACAGAAGTTGATTCCAATTAAACAAATATATATGTATGCCGGATGCGTCAAAATAATTGCGATATCCAATATGTTACACATATATTTTATTGATAATAAATCTTAAAAACTATGACTTTATTTAAGAATGCAAAGCCATGAGGTGGTTTACAGGAATTTTTGAGTTAGTAACATAATTTTTTTAATGGTAAAACAGAAGTACTACGAAATGACGAAATATCTCATTATTCAAAAAGATACAGAGATAAAAATAACTTTGTCGATTTTTTGTATATGTTAAAGTGATTAAATTCAACAATTTCTTAGAAAAAACAACAAATAACATATGTCAATATACAGTAATTTGGCATATTCATCACAATTTGTTTTCTTTCTATGTTTAAAAGTCAATCCTATTGGTCGAAATTTTTATTCTTTTCGACAATGTTCGAATATCAAAAGAATCATTTTATCTGCGTTACCGTATATAGCAATGAGTTTTTGTACAAGTACGTTGATTTTTAGTATATTTGTCTTCTATAACATATGTGTCATTGTTGGTGCGATAAAGTACAGAATGTTAACATATGTTATCTTTGTTCCCTCGACGCCACTGTTACATATCAAGAGATTTTTCACTTTAGCTATTATCAACCATTTCATAGTGTACATTATAAAAAGAACTTCGTAATTGCAGGATTTATTCCTAGTGAAATATTTATAAAATAGTCAGTGTTGTAAGCGTTAGATATGAACTATAGACAAATAGTTGTTAAGAGTATGTATCTGTATATTTCACAATAGCACAGAAAAAAACAAGACAATACATAGTATCAAAATGAGAAATCATAAGCTAAGTCAATCATATAGGAAGAATGAACCGGTAATACCAGAAATAATCTTTTGTTTATAGTAATTGTCGAAGAAAGTCTTGAGTTGCTATCCTTTCGTGTCTAGATGGAAAGACAAGCTGACGAAAAATAGGACGTTGGGTTGTTAATGGTACTAACTGTTTTATCTCACTATTCCACTCTACACCAAGTCGATGAAAATGATTAGATCCAAGTACAATATCCCATGGAAGATCTGGTACGAATATTGGAGTGACATAGTAGTAGCCTTGCCATTGATCACCTCGATATTGACGTAGAACAACATCTTGTAATGATTGATAAAGATTAGGATTCGGTACGAAATCTAAATTGCCTGGTCCAATGTTACACAATGACATATGACCAATATCAACATCGAGATGTAGACGATTACGCATTGACCTATTGATCAGTAATTGACGAACGCCATCCAAGATGACAATACGTGACACTTGTACACGACCAACGTTTTCAACACTGAGATATGCTTCTTCACGTAGATTCGATATTTGAAGATCGAAGTCAACTTCGTACATGATACCGTATCATAAGAATTACTACAATGAATCTAAATAAATACATTTGATCTTTTAGTTTTTCATTCGATTAAAATACTATCTTATCAATTTTCATCACTTGTCTGTAAAATGATTTCTCCTACACTAATCGACGATCTTGTCCTCGATCTTTCCAGATTCTTGATTTTCTTGATCAATCAGGCAAGATTCTTTTAAATCATGATGTTCAGGCAAGATTCCTTTTGAGAGGAAAGAAAAAAAGATTCTCGCCAGAAGCTCAAGATGACAAGAAACTTGTCTGATTACTCGGAAGCAAAAGAATCAGGCAAGAATTACAAGATATTCAAGAATTTTTTAAGTTCAGACAAGAATCTTTTTTCTTTCCTCTCAGAAGAATCTTGACTGAACTTCGAGGCGAAAAGAATCTTGCCTGATTGATCAAGAAAACAAGAATCTGGAAAGAGCCTACAGGATATGTATGGTTTCTTGACGTTCAGACAAGTTTCTTTTTTTTCTTTTAACAGAATCTTATCTGATCTTCAAGATCAATAGCACGTGATCTCTTTGTTCAACTATGTATATATATGTTTGACCGTTAGTCATTCATTTATAATTATATAAGTGATGTTTTCACTTCATTTTGAATAAGTAACCTTTCAAGATAGTCGATCATATTAAAACGGCATCTATCAATTATCTTTTTCTGTTGGATATCGAGAAACAAAGGTAACATACAATAATGATTTTTTTCAAAGAACTGTATGAACTGCATTTGTTATTAACATTTTTTTGTTTGTAGAATTTTTTTTCTCATGGAAACCAACCAAGAAGATTCAAGTGATTTTTTTTTCAGCAATATTATCCCCGATCTAGGTAGTATGAATCTATATCTATGATATTTTTTAGAGCCACATATTGTCTTTGTTTCAGAGCCATCACTGCATACAGTAAAACAAAGACGATGGAGGGCACGTCGAAAACACAAGCTCCACTCAACTCAATTACCAGTACCTCTCCCAACTGTAGAACAAGTTGTAAATAATTTATTTTAATTGTACAATTTTAAAATAAAATCTTTATATTGTTTCTTGATGTTTTTAGATTGAACAAGATTTGTATTTATCAGCTGGTGATAATGAAGATTTTGAAGATAATTTACATATTGATAGTGAAGATTTTGAAAATAACTTACATATTAATGATGATCATTTTGATGATAATTTACATATTGATGATGATAATATTGAGGATAATTTACTTATCGATACTGATAATTTGGAAGATGATTTAATTTATGATAATAACTGTAATTATAATTTAAATCCAGATTTTATTGAATCAAATGGTAGGATAAAGTACTTTATTTTTTATTTTGTTATTTATTTAAAACTATTTGTTTGACATTTTTTGTCATCATCATGTAGTTATCTATGATTCTTGAAGGACGTCTATTTGAGTTTCTGATAAATAATTTCCATATCTTCATAATAAGATTGAATCTCGAAACATTTCCACATTGCTCAAATACTATTTTGAAGAGGAAGTCACAAGAGTAATTTGTTTTTTTCCTTTGTTCTAGAACAATGTATTGAACAAGAATTAGATGAACCATTATATGATGGTGCACCAGTTACATTTATACGTTATCATAAACAAATATTAGAATTCGGAAATTTAGTTAAATTGAACGGTTCCAATATGAACAAATTATTAAAATTGATCGGCAATGCCTTACCAATTGGAAATAAATTAGTAAAATCACATAGAAAGTTGGTTTCAATTTTTCAAGAACGATCGTCATTCAATGAAGTGCTGAGGTGTACAAAATGTTTAGAAATTATTGATAATAATAATTATTGTTCTATAATTTGTGAAAAAAATCAATGTCAACGACGAGTAGGTGATATTATTGAACACATTTCTGTTGATCGGTCTAATAGACAATTGATTGAAATTATTCGTCGAAACAAACACTTAATATTAAGTTATCCACAACTTGTTGATAAATTATTACCATGTGATGTTATGACAGGATTAGTTTATGAAAAGATTATAAAAAATCTTCAAACATCATCCAACAACACGTTCCCCATTACATTAATGCTGCATATAGATAGTACACCTATTGTTCATTGGAATAAAAAACATACGTGGTTAGTAACAGCATCCATTATTGAAATTCCACCACCACTCAGAGAAAATCAATTCAATATTTTATTATTATCTGTATGGTACGTAAAATTTTTTTATTTATCACTGAGTTTTGCTATTTTTCAATCATTTATGTTCGAATAAGCACTGATGTTACTGTTCTTTTCTTTATAGGAATGCACCAGTCAAACCAGATGCAGATTCATTGCTAAAAGAAATTTGTGATACAATTAAACAAACTTTAATTGTTGATGATATTAAATTTTCAGTCGATATATTGTTATTTAAAGCAGATTTACCAGCTCGTGCTTTAGCAACTAAACATGTTCATCACAACGGATATTATGCATGCCTCGAATGTGATCAAGAAGGTGTATGGTGCGAAAAAGCTCGATATGTTATATATCCATACAATCAAAATTCGGTAAATCTTCGTACATCAGAACATATTGATATTTGTGCCAAACTGATTAGTCAGCAATCTTCCGATGATAATTGTTATGGTGTAAGAGGTGTTAGTCCATTAACAAAAATATTAGACATTCCAACCCAAATAGATTTTGATATTATGCATTTATGTTTTATCGGTCATTGCTCTTTGCTGTTATCCAAATGGAAGAAGATGATTGTTAAAGAAGCTTGGTACTCAGGTAATGATTTTTTAAATAGAATCAAATGGCCACATAATTTTAATGTCGAATTGCGCTCACTCTCTGATTGGTCATATTGGAAGGCCCATGACTACCGATCATTTTTTCTCTATCTAATGTTTCCATTTGTCTTTTCATTTCTTCCTGGACATATCTCTTCTCATTTCTCTTTATACTTTGTATTTGTTCGCATCTTGTATTTCTATCATGACTTCAATGAAGTTATGGAAGTTGAACCACTTATAAAATTTTATTGCGAACGTGCATTATCTATTTACGGTTCGACATTTTATTTGTATTCAACACACGCCCATTTACACTTGATAGAAAAAGTCACTGGTTATGGTGCATTATGCTTTCACAATTGTTTCGGTAATGAAAGTTTTTTTCGTTTTGTTCGTTCTTTGCGATCTGGTAATCGATTGATTGCTCGTCATATTTGTCGTTCATTTGATAAATACCATAGCACAACCAGAGAAGAAACCTTGTCGATCAATAATATTTTTGTTGATGAGAAATTAATACGTGATGATTATCTAGATAGACAGTATATTTCAAAATATCAATCACAATTTCTTGATACAGTCAAAAACGTCATTGATTCAACAGACAATCCTAATGTGTGTTTTTTTTGTCGTGCATCTAGAGGAATTTCTGAATTCCATTCTCTATCATATCGAAGACGTGGTAATACACAAAGTTTTGTTGTATCATTTTATGATGACAAAAAAAATAAATGTTTCGGACAAGTTATATTTTTTTATAAATTATTTGGTGTTTCTTACGCATTTTTGAATATGTATGATATAGTTGTTAGTTATTTTTCTTCAAATAGCTATGTAAACCAGTGGTCTTGTTCTCCAATTGTACCTAAATTTCTCGATAAATATTATACAAAATGTAATCTTTCTGATACAAAGTTTATCTCCATTCCTTTTTCTTCAGTTGCCTATAAGTGTATTGTGATACATATGTTGGATCAAACGTTATTATCTGAGATTTTTTACGACTCAGATCAAAATTGATACAATAATGTTAATCTTTTTTTTCTTGTGAAATATATCATCAAAATATTTTTTGAAAATTTCTGTTTGATTATTCTATTTCATATTTTAATCATCATGTACAATTCTGCTTCACTCAATATTAATGATGAAAATGTCGAACGACAATTATCTCAAGAATATTCGGATAAAACATACCATGGAATGCAACCGGTATCTTTCGTATCGATTCCACAATCAACAATTGATATCAACCATCGTAAGTCACTTTTTTCACACTTTTACTGCTCATAAAATATAAGCCTAATAATTTTTCTTTTAAAATAAGTAACAAAAGCTTTTTTATTTTTTTAGAAGGTTCATCATCATTTCGTGTACATGATCCAAGATTTGATTGTCATCAACCTATTAATCAATGTATTAATCAACCTATTAATCAATGTATTAATCAATCTATTAATCAATCTATTAATCAACCTATTAATCAACCTATGAATCAACCTATGAATCAACCATTGTCTTCGATATATAATTCAACTACAAGTAATGATAATAATTGTGTAGCACCTGTTGCATTAACAGGTAAGTGTAACAGGATCTTATATTTGAGATCATGTAAATTCATTCGAATAATTATCAGCTAAAAAACGTCGAACTGTTGCTAGTACATTGGTTGCTCCATCAACTGCACCACTTCCTCGTAAACGATTTAATCCGATTGTTCAAAGTACAGCAGCAGCAATGATGAGTACATTTATATTTAAAAATTTATTTACGAAATATTCTTTATTAATTATCAAATCTTAGATAATGTTGGTGGTGAAAATACACTTAGTTCAAGAACAGTTGCTGCAACGACAAAGTCGATTACTGAAACAACACAAAATAGTTATTTATATTATAAAGATGTTTTCTGTTCCATTACTAATCTTATTTAAGTTTTAGGAATTAATCAGATGATGAAACCACTGGTAAAGTTATGTGAAGAAACAAATCAATTAGTGAAAGAAATATTGCAACAGATAACAGAACAAACACGTTTAATCAATGAATCGATTAATGGTCCACGTGAATTACAAAAATTGATTGAAAAATTATCTCATATTCTCCATTTAGTAAGCTGAGATTCTAAATTGATACATCTTTTTTGTAGTTTTTTATCTTTTTAGCAAGCTAAAGTATTGCAAACACAGCAAACGAATGATGATGAAGATATCGTAATGGTAAGTAAAAGTTTTAGGCAATAGACTATGCTCAATTACCATTTACCATGTTTCGCACAATCGGTTTTGCATAAAAGTCTTAGACTTTGCAGTATCGTTGACTATACAAAGAATTTTCTTTGAACTGTTATCATCGGTTTTACTATTTTTAGACATTAAATGGAATCAATTTGGATCACATCGAACGTGGTTCTTCATTGAATGCAACAGCTAGATCTGTAGTTCGTGCTGCCTACGGTGAAAAAGCATCTTTCAAAGATTTGGCTGATGGTGAATTTGATCTTCTTTTGAGTAAGATTAATGAAGAAATTCAATGATCATTTTAGTATTTCAAATCTATATTTTTAGGTTTTATTGCTCGAATTCATCGAATGAGTGTTGCATCTGTCTTTGCAGACAGTCAATCAATTAAGAACTCGTTACAACAAATGAAACACGACGTCAACAAGAAAAAATCGTCGAGTAAGTCATCCATTACAGTATCAAAACGAGCAACTTCGGCAACAGTTCAACCATCATCATTATTGAATAATGACGAAGATGATAGTGACGAAGATGATGACGATGATGAACTTTGAAATACAGCTTTTTGCTGCTTGCTTTTCTTTATTTTTGTTTAACTTTCTTCTCTTTATGCGAAATTAATGTATATTTTATTACTTTGTCGTTTACTTTTTCTATCGTATTTGAAACTTATAATAAAATATAATAGTAACGAAAGAAGACAACAATAGTGATGTAAAAACAGACCTAATTTGTATCACAAGAATCAATCAGGAACTTCAAGAACAAGATTCAGGCAAGAAATCAAGAAAATAGACTCAGGCAAGAATTGCAAGAAAAATAAAAGAATCAGGCAAGAATATAAGAAAAAAACAATCAGGCAAGAATTGCAAGAAAAAAAAGAATCAGGCAAGAAAAAAAGAACACAAGAATCTTGTCTGGCGAGACAATTCTTGCCTCGTCAGACAAGATTCGGTCTACAAGAATCTTGACAGAAGATCAAGATCTGTTTTTCCAGGCAAGATTCTTGTATAGAAGGAATAGTAAAAAGAATCTTGACTGAAAACCAAGAAATTCAAGAATCTGGAAAGATCGAGGGCAAGATCGTCGATTAGTGTAATGATCATTCCTTTTCTATCAATTATGAAGGTTTGAAATAAAAACTTTCGGGTGCTTAGAAAAAGATCATTTATCAATATACTGTCATATACAAACGTACAGACACAATTTCAACTGAATCTAATTCATATCTTTGGATGTTGAATATTATCCTCAATAAGACAAGGGCTGAAGCATCATCGAAGAACACTGAGTAGTCTATCGTCGTCAATCCTACATTTTCAACTTGTACTCACTAAAAGGGACATGTGCCTAAAGTATATAGTTATGTAATGAGAGATAGGATTGAACAGTTATGTTTTTCTTCTGTGACATACTCGTTTGTTATAGAGTGCATGCAAAAATAATATTCTGTTTAATAAATGATCAACGTAATTCATTGTGTCTGCGTTTTTTATTATCATACAATTGCTAATTCCCTGCAAATTGTATCGTTATAGATTGCACCGTAATACATTAAAATGCAAAAACAGTCTCATATATTTTTACGTCGTTCGATAGCTGAGTGTCAAGAATGTCTATAGACGAAGACTTGATTCTTTCAGCAACAAGAAGATCTAAACCTAAAAGACTTGTTTATTCATGCATTTTAATAGGATCGATAGATGCATGTACTCTTTGTTGGAAACAAACATAAAGTAATCAATAAATCAATATGTTAAAGTGTGTTAAACACTTTTTACAAGCATAAAACAATTGATTTTACATGAATCCATATTTCGATTCTTGTTTCCGAGACGTCTGAAAACTGAAATCAGACATTAAAATACAGTTATTCGTGCCTTGTTCTCTCTCTTGCTACACAAGCAGAACAAACGTCCTGCAGACAAAAAAATCATCATATTATTTTTTTTCTCAATTAATTAAAACTTGACATATATTCTTCAAATCTACCGTTTAAGACAGATTCTTTCTTATACTCATTTCGAAACAAAGCAGACCGGAAAGAAAATTCGCTCGATGAATCCAATTCTTTTTCGTTACAATTCAGTGAGAAATTCTCAGATATGAACTTGTGCAAAGCAGATTCCATTCAAAACTATTAGAAATAAGAAAATTTGTTAACTTCAAGTAAATAGAATATATATTGTTTGCATGTAAGCAGGCATCTTGTGACTAAGAATTAAAAAAGTGCGGTGTTCATCTTAAAAAGTCTTCGATGTCAAGAGATGAAAAAGTTCATAATCAGTTTAACATAGAAACAAAAACTAGTGCCACTATTGATACACTATTGTTGTACAACTAAATTGAAGCAGATATGTACGATGATCACACATTTTTGGCGTGATGTTCGCTAACTGTTATCTTCATGATGATGAGTCCGTTTTGTTTTTGATGACTCTAAACTAGTTATAAATTCATTTTAATTATCACGGATTGCAAGATATACGATAGAAATGTACGAATAGTTAGATGCAACTGTTTTTATGTTCTGGATATATGTCTGATTGAAAGGAAGCTTAGTAGACACTTCTAATTTTTGCTTGCATACAATTATTGACGATTCGCATCTATCGTAAAACTAACTATAAAAGATAATATCAGAATAGCTTGTTTTTTCAAATTATGATTTTATGGACTATTTAGTAGTACTATTTTCGACTTTAATGCCGATATATAGTAATTTCAGATCTCATACTGCAGAGATAAGTTCAGATATGATATCTTATTAGGAGTTAAGTAACTATTGACCTATTAAATTTGATGAGACTACAAAACTCATACTAAGGTTCATCTATATTGATTATTTTTGTCAAATGATGAGTACAATATGGGATTTTTAACCTTTGATAGTGAAATTTTAGGAAAACTTATTATAAATTGCAATCTAAAATTTTACCGAAAATATAAAGCCTATGATAATTAGAATGTCGTTCGTTTTTTGCTGAAACATGTTTCTCTGTTTCTTACTCGATTTCTAACCTTAGTGGTAATTGCGTTGAATAAAAATATCACCTCTGAATGACCATTTGAAAGTACCTTCTATTTATGTTGAGGAACTGTAATTTTCATTACAAATTTTATTTTCCTATTTTCTTCTGTTTTCGACACATAAAATACGTAGCTTATGCAAACAGAGATCTCTTGCTTCATTAGCCAAAATCAGAGAATGATTACAGAGTTGATCGTTTGTCGAAACTATTTCAGTTCTTGTAGTTTGATGACATCTAAATCTACAAAAGAATCCAACTCGATCCATGAACTTAATTCAGATATACATTGTGTAATATATATTATCTTTTTGAACTGTCATTATATTCAAGGATATTTTATAGAAAGAAATAATTGAAAAGTTGAAAATTTAACATTTTCAAAACTGTTTGCAGTGAAGTTCTTCAGATTTTGTTCTTTACGACAATTGAGATTGAGTACGATCGAAGACAGTTTTCCTTTAAGCAGAGTGTATTATATTTCCTATAGTCAGTTATTAAATGAAATCTCATGGATAATTTGAATTTAAAATCTTAAATTAAAAAGTATCTTATTTATATGCAAACTGGTATGTTTCTATTTTCTATTTCTAGTTAAGCCATGTCAAAGGTCGGATCTGCTGCTACTCATTGGATAAGCTGTGATATAGTATTGATCAATGCGGATCAACAATGGAAATCTCAAAATGGAACGATGCCTGAATCTGAAGTCTGTCATTTCGAAACAGTAGCTGAATTAGATACAGGTTCGTCTGAACTCGGATTACCACCAGAAGTCATACAAAAACTGAAATTAGTGACACTAGGCTCACCAATTGAAATTGAATCACCACTCGATGGAAAGAAGACGGAGGTAGCCGTCTTTGGACCTGTAATAATTGATTTTTGTGGAAAACAAATAGCAGTACCAGTCCATGAACTTAAACATACTCGTCGAGTGTTATTAGGTTTGGAACCGGCTCAACGATTAAAAATCGATGTAGATTGGATTCATTCTAAGGTTATCTTGCCAAGCACGGCATATACTCACAAGGCCTATCTTATTGGTCCACAGGATCTATTGAATCTGTTTGGACACAATGGCCATACGATTGAAGCTTTACAACAGCAACACAAGGTATCAATCGAAATTAACAATCGGAGAAAAGTCAGCAAGATTGTTGTAATCATCTGTACGAAGGAAAACTATAATAACATTACAGATGCTCAAGCAGCTATTCAGATAATCTGTCCAAGTCTTACTCCAGCACCTGAAGAACAAACGATCATGACTTTAATCAATGAAATAGACACGAATATACTATTATTTTATTGTAAAACCTTCTATTTGATCAAATAAACTTACAAAAGACATTCTCATCACATCAATTTTTTTACAAAATCAGTACTTACTCAAAAATCACAATTGCGTCTGTTTCAATTGCAATCTATTCCTTTTCACTCGTCGATGGCGAATGAGATAGGGCAAACATTCGAAAAAATGTTCATTTTTTCTCTTGCATTCTCTTTTTCCTGTGATGTAAGACGTCAGGGTCATGAATACAGAGACGAGCGACAAAAAAAAAAGAATATGTCCGACGAGACGAGGAAGAAATATGGCAACCGCGAAAGAAAAAAAATGAGTAGGACGGAAAGAAATGAGGAAGATAGAACAAATGAAGGAAAAGAAAGAGAACTACTGACGACTAATGCGTCTTCTCCGTCTAGTTGTAACCATGTCTGACACATATGCAGATTATTTGTTAGAAAAAATTTATAGAAGTTATATTTGACAACTAAAATGCGGAAAAGAAGTGTAAAATATACTACAAGAGTTCTTTATGATATGCTGTATACGTGTCATTGAGTATACAATATTTATTCAAATATAGTTGTTTAAACTTTTTTATGATTGACTTTCAATGTTTTTCTAGCAGCATAAATATACGACTGCTCATTACAACCAAGACTTTCGTATGATATTAAAAATAATTAGTTTAGCGTACATAAGATTGTATAATAAATAGTTTCATTTTAAATTCTTTGGTATTTATAATACAAAAAATATTTTGTCTGACAAGGAAAGCTGTCCAACTGTTCAATTATACTTGTGTAGAGCATTGCAATTTTGCAGTACTGTTTAAACCAATATCATGGTCCGACTCAGAAACGTCAAAAATATTCAGGTTTGAATTCCGACTTTACATATAGATAGATCTTAACGAAGATAGTTTTTGCTAATGTTTTAGATCATATCGTTGTTTGTATTTTAAGAAGCATATCAAAAGAAGGTTTAATATGATTCAGATAGTCTCAGTTCTAAACATAATTAAAGAGCTTTTATCGTGAATATTTCAAAATCATATGATTTTTTTTATAGAATTCAATAAGCTTTCTTTGTCATAGAAATATGTATCTTCTAGCAATCCGTTCTCTGCAGTAAAATTTAGTTGTTTGATTGTGATGACTAATTCAACAAATATCAATGATATTCAAAGATCCGATAAAAACTTTGTACAACGTATCGAATATATATTTTATTGATATACTAATTCGTACACTATGCTTATTTTATGACACTTCGAAGAGAGAATAAACAAGAGAAAACCATTTTTAATCGGATGAATTTTTATTCTAAAATTTTATTACTTTCGTGGAATAATTCCGATGACATTTTTGCATTAAACATTTTGCTCTTTCTAATAAACAAAAAAAACCAACAAACTGGGATAAAATCTCTATAATATTGATTGCAATACTAAATAACAAATCCAAATAAATGCAGAACATATTCATTCAACAAGAAATTTGTAATAGATAATAAGACAAAAAAACTTTCAAATAAGAATTTTAATACAACCGAATATCATTTGCAGTTAGATTTAAGTGGAAAGAAAAACAAATGATCAAATATGAACTATCCTAATTGAATAAAAACTAATATTTTATCGAAATAATTCTGTCTATTTTGTAAAACTAATTTATGTTATTTTTTTCTTTATTAGTTGGAATTGTTATGCATGATGAATGAGTTTGAACGTCATATACGTGGTATTCAAGAAATATTAGAACAAATTGATCTTGATTATAGTCGAATGGTAAGAGACTTTTCTAAATTAATCAGTACTTATAAAGATGATGTATCGAATTTGGAAAATGTATTTATTAATGCGACAACAAGTCATCGTCTTTTAAAATTGCAAGAACGTTTTCAAAATTAACATGAGACGTTAATGAATAATATACGAACACCATTAAGAAGCTTTCGTGTTCGATTTTACAATACATATATATTATATAAATTCTTTAATATTATTTTATTTGTTTGTTTTTGTATTTATTTCTTATAGAACATTTTCTGAAGGTGGAAATTTTAGTCGTGACGAAGTAGAAACCCATCGAAGAAAACTTGAAAAAAACAATGTTTCAAATAGATAAAGCAGAAACAGCTATTTTACATGAATTAGAAAAATTTGAGAAAAACAACAATTTGAAGAAGCAACGAAAATTATGACCCAATTTCAAGACCGGTAAAAAATAATTAAAGCAAAATTTAATTATTTTTCTTTCTTTCTTTTTCTCAAACTATTTAGTTTTAAAAATCGTGCGACTGATTTACAATTTATTGAGTTAACAAATCGATGAATAACTGAAACACAAGTTAAAATCAAATGTGAAGTTTCTATGAATAAAGATCATGCACAAACACTTAAAACACTCATTCTAACATATCAAGCTAAAATTGATTCGGTTCTAAATCCAAATTTAGATAAAAAAGTAAGAGTTTTTTTTAACGAGAACAATAACATATCAAAGAAATTTTGACGTTTTCAGAGCAAGCAGATCTTACTAAGTAGAACGAAGTTATCATAGATTCAAAGTTAATAGATACTGTCTTCTATGAAATGCTATGATAATAATAGTAATGATGGTGTAGAGTATCTTTCAAAAATACTACTGCGTTGACTTCTTTTTTTCTAAAGAAAACTTGCATCTGATTTTGAGTAACTGTAAGTTCAACGGTCAAAATCATGATGACTCTGACGGGCTCAATCTAACTGAACTGATTTATTATAGATTAAGACAAGGTGATTTCCAAACGCGTTGGACATTTCTGTACTTCTGACTGAAAAATTTTGTTACAAATATTAAATATTGTTTGACACGGGTATTTTTGTATTTTTTAGTTCGACGAATAAAAAGGTCAATATATTGAAGATTTTTTAAAATGTGCATTTGTTGAATGTAGTTTTTTCGTAGAAGCTACTAAAAAGATACCAATCTCGAGCAGTGTATAATATCTTGGAAAAAATTGTTAACTCAATCGAACGTATCAGACTAGAGAAACGGAGGTGATTCTACAACTGTTTCATCATGAAAAATTTGTTCAAAGAGAAAAGTAAAACAATGTATTTAGGTTCGAAAGTAAACTCAGTAGATAGATATGAATTCAGCATATACAATAGCCATAGGAAAAACAGAAATGTTTGAGTCTTAAAAGCAACAGAGAAGCTCGAAATCTTTATTTCTTTCTTTTATCTTACAGATATCAACATTAAATGAAATTCGAGAACTTTTCATCAAATTGTTTTAACTACATATGAACGAGCATTATATTTAAAATATCTTAATAATGAATTAACTATACCAGCATCACTCATTACTGTTCTTATAGATAAAGGATTAATTACTGAAAGTATTTAATCTATATATTTTCTAAAAATTGAAATTGTAACTTTTATACATTTGTTTTTTTTCTTTTGAACATTATTAGAAGCATTAGTTAATGATCTTCTTCATGTAACTGTAACAGATGAGACTAGTAATGCTGAAGAAGTTAAATCAGTTAAATTTGTATAATCATCTTCATCTATAACATCATCTTCTTGAAATAAAATGCATCAACTGCATTAGTAGGTCTTACGGGTGGACATTCAGATGATTTGGATACAATTGCAACAATACAATCTCTTCTTCAGTATGTTATTTAAGAATAATAAAATAAAATGACAACAAGCAAAAACAAAAACAAATTTTCTTTTCTTAAGTAGTAAAGAAGAACCACCAGATTCTGATGAAATTGTGAAACTAGGTGTGCCTGCTGATATAGGTTTGTATTTAATCTAATTGAATATTGAAAAATAATCTCTATACTAACTTGAAATAATTAATATCCTAAAGTGAAATCTCAAAAAAGAATCAAAGTATAGTTTCAGTGTAAAATCATTCGAAATATGTATATCTAACTGATTTCAAGATAATCTTTCTTTTTTTTTAAGTCTACAAGATTTTATTATCTGATGCAAATGTATCATATTAGTTTCAGTTATACATGTAATTTATTCTTACGAAGATAGTATAATTACAAGTTCTTGGACAAAACAGTAAAATAAAACAACGAGATAAATTAATCAAAAATATTTCTTATATAGGGAAACACTGAATTAATCTAAATGTTGTTGAATATCTGAGTACTATTTCATATACTTAGGAAAATGAATTGTAATAGAGACACAACATATAATCAGGTATATAATGAAGAGGTAACAACATGTGAATTTAGGTGTGTCTCTGAGTGTAAGTGACTATGTATGAAGAGATAACCCAAACTCATAACCTCACAAAATTATGAGTTTTTGGCGTCATTCTGTAGTTTAAGTTATGCTATGGAAACGAATTTGACATTACACACAGATCCATAACTTGAGCGTGACTTGTTAACCTGATTTAAGATTATACAAATAGATCAGGCTAAGCTTAAAGTTTAAAATTCAGCCAGACCTGGTAGCTTGTCAAGCAACAGGTCAGGTTGGCAGATCTGATACTCATTATGGACCATGCTGAACGTACCAAAAGTTTTATAAGATTCTTTCTCTAGAAAATATTTTAGCTGAGAAATAATATTTCTTAAAAAGTTTCCTATTAGAAGATGCCGCATTCAATTCTCTACAAGTTGCTATGTAATTTTATTTAAAAGAACAGGATATACACTTGTTATAAGATACGTTCGGTGATTCAGTAAATGAATCTTCTTCTTCTCAAACGTTTTTCAGTAATCTATTCTTTTGATAGCAGTAAATGTTCATTTTTCAAAAAAGATTAGTTAACATGTTATATTTTGATATTAGAGAAAATTTCTTCACTGATTGTTTGTTTTCCGAAAGACATCCGAGAAATATCATTGATAGATAGATTGAGTTCATTTTTGTTGTTTTCTTGTCCTTGTCGTCAAAATATCACTTAGTAAAAAAGATTAAGTGAAAAGAAGTACATGAGGTCTGTATAGAAAGCTGTTTTTAATGATAGATTATAAGAAACGAGAAAAAGAGGTTCACTAAGTTACAGAACACAATTTAGAAAAAGTGGACATTCTATTGTATTAACACAAGGTAGATACCAATTTGTAGAGAATAAAATGCGATATCTCCTGACAGAATCCTTTCCATGGTATATTATTTTTCAGCTTGGATATATGCTAAAAAGATGAATTTTTCAAGACTTTTAGTACACCTATTCAGCATTGAATACTAAAGCTTACTGATACTAATATCCATCAATTATAATTTATAAACTTCTAACTTATAGATATAGAATAGCGTTCAAAATTTTTCATACGCTGAACTAGTGACAATGATTTTCGGCAAAATGTGATTCTATATTGATAATTTATCTTTTCAAAACAACGGCACTCTGTCATACATTTGCTATACTAAACTAGAAAATATTAAAGATAATATGTTTTTGTGTTCTTCTCTCACAGACAAGAAGGAAAAATATTTCAATAAAAATTCAGCTTTATTACAGTCTAAAATATTTTCAATATTCATTTTCTCAATGAAACAAATGAAATAAGAAATTTTTAATTGCACACTGTATAATAATATTCGACAAGAAAATACTATTCCTTAGACTGATGATCAATATTGAGTACCTATGGAACTCGAATTTTCAATTTCTTTTCTAAAGCATAGAAATTAAGATCGAAACTTCTACTTAATTAGAAATGCCTCTCATTAATCCTCATATAAAACCTTATTTCTATGGAAACTTAAGCTACTCCATAGTGCATAGTGGCATGCCTATATATAAAACTATAATTCTAAGATTCCCTTTGGGAAGATGATGTCGAAGAATTAGCAACATTTTTGACGAAATATTGATTGGTTAAAAGTATACTGGAGAAACATTACTGAGTAGTTCTATTGAGCACTTCGTTATTTACATCGGCATTTATTGTATATAAATAACAGTTATCTCGAAAAAGCAGACTGACTGCGCTCCATTATGTGGCTCTGCTGCATGATATAGGATCTTGCTGAACAGTATGTTTTACCGAGAATACATGCCGCTAAATATAAAAGAATTACTGGATTTTAGGAAAGTTAACGAGAGCAACTTAAGTTCGAGTTCGAAGGAGTGTATAACTTTCGACTTGGATGAAAAGTTGCTAGAATTTCGCACCGAGACGAAATTCATGTAACTTCATAGAATGATTAATATATACGTATTATTTTTAAGAATTCGCTACACGTCCAATTGTTGTTGATTCTCCAACGCCATCAGCACATGGAGAAATCGAAAAAAAACGGATAAAAATCCAAGTCCTTGAAATAACGAGTAAAAATCTATATGAATTTTTAATCATACAACAATAAAATTGTGTAGAACTTGTGTTAATAGATCATCAGTTGATGAACCAAGACCAGCTGCTCGATGTAGTCGTCCTACTCGCGCTAGAACACTTGATGAAATCTATAGTCTTTATTGCATATTTTTGGTGAAAAAAAAACATTCTGTTCATGACTTTTTATCTAAAATATTAAATATTCTACAAGAATCAATTGAAGGTTTACTTACACATTCTGATGTCAGTTTCATAAAAGAATCATAAATTGAATATTTAATTCTGTGTTTTTGTTATTGTTTTTCAAATTAGATATTTTATCAAAATAAAGTTCGTCGTCCTATGACGTATCCTCAAGTATTACGTGAAAAATTTGATGAATTTGCATACCTCATGGTAGAAAAATTAAAAAATTATGAAGAACAATGTCGCAGTTATCATGAAAATTCAATAAATGATATAAAAAAATTTTCTCTTACAAAAGACTAGTCTAATGGCTAATATTGAATTTAATGAACAATTATTTCAAGCTGAAAAAATTCTTTTTGATGAAATATTAACAGCTGATGAAATAAAAAGAGCAAGTATAACGAGAAA